AGTAAAACCAGTGTTGGACTGGTGCATAATTCCAAATTCTTATAACAAAACCAATTTATAAATTCATGTTTTTTTGGTGCGCATTTTGAACTAGTGTTTCACTCAGTGTAGAAACATACAGAACTTGAAGCAACTCGGGCTGGTGTTGTCTACTGTCTGCTTCGATTTCCATCTTTAAATGCAGCCGTGCTATTTGCTCGTGGTTTACTATTATTTTTTTCGATGGTTCATCACAGTAACACGGAAAAGGAACATTTTCTTCATTGACAGATTACCGCACGCGACACGACATGGGACTTGTTTAATGTTGTTTTGGGAGCAACTTTAGGATCAAAGGTTTTAAGTAAGGTAGAGTATTTTAAACACAAAAACTGCGCTAATTTTATCAGAAGAAAACATTATATCTCTGAGCCACGGAAGCAAAGCGAATCTCAGGCTTTCGATTCTCCCATCACTAGTGCGATGAACTGACAATTTGTCCCTCCTTGGATTACTTGAAATAGTGATGTGCTTTTTAGATCTTTTGATTAAGTTGTGTTCAGTTCTAGGAACTGGTTTGTGAACAAACTACTTTATGCAACATTACCACAAAAAATATATGTACCGAAGCAGGGCAGATATTCCAACCTGTCAGTCGGGATAACGTAAAAACGATTCAATTTGGAAGTGCAAGTTTGCAAATGTAGAATAAACTATTAACACCTAGTAGGTGATGTTGAGTCAATATAATCACATATGGATTACAAAAGTTGCAATAAACATGGAGAAACTTTCAGCTAGTCTGAAAAAAATGGATTTTACTCAGCCATCAAGCATTTTTTTTTTAAATTTTGGCTCAGTTTTATATAACTTCATAATATTTAATAAACTGAACACATTTCAATGGCAAGCTGTCACTTCATATTTTACAGTGTTTTGTTTTGAATACGTTGATGCTATTTGCTGCCAAAAATTTGACGGACAGTTCTTGAGGATGATTGGGTATATTTGACGAACTGTTTTGTACTCGTACCCTATTGGTGCACAATAATGGTTTGTTAAATGGTGAAATCCGCCCTTAGTCTAATAATATTAGCAGGTTTCCCCGAAATAATTGTAACGTCGGGTTCTATTGGTGCAAGTCGTTCAAGGCGGTATTTAAAACATGGCCGCACACCAATTTTTGTGGGGAAACCTTTTATTCGACAACAAAGAATGAGGGATTCAATCGAAAGTGCTAGCCGGAACGAAAAAACTCTTGATATCGGATTTTTAGGTATTTATGAGAACTACAAAACGGGACTACACGTATAAAGATCCGACTAATAGCAAAAAAGTTATGGCCAAAAACCAAGGCAATCTGCAGGTTTTGGCATTTAATGCGACGATCGTTTCTCGAAGACATTTGAAATTCTTCTAATTCGTAGGATTCGTAATTATAAATAACTACAACTAAATTGGAGTAAGTTGGTCAAGTAGTTTTTGACAATTTCTAATTGTTTATCCCAAAACACCTGTTTTCCGACCGTCACTACTAGCTTATTGAGCAATATACAGGGTGCGTTCAAAGAGCATTTCATAGCAAAATACACGGGTTTGGCTTGCCGATATTAATTCCTAAGGATTTTTATGGGAAAAACACAGGTTACGTTCTTTTTCTTCTAAACAAGATCGAATATTCCGTATTTGCGAGTAATTGAATAAAAATGTGCTACGATGTTCGAAAAACACGTTACTATATACAAATACGAAATGTTTGAATTTGTTTAGAAGAAAAAACGTAACCCATCCTTTTTGCATAAAAATAACACTTACCTTCCGGAATGGTTTGCGATTCATTTCGGCAAGATAAACTAGTGTATTTTGCTATAAGATGTTCTTTGAAATAACCCTATATATTGCTCAACAATGGGCAGAAGGGGGGTATAAACAATTAGAAATTCTCAAAAACTACTTGACCAATCTACTCCAATTTCATTGTGGTTATTTAGAAGTGTGAATCCTACGAATTTGAAAAATTTCACATATCTGCGAGAAACCATCGTCGCATTACCAACAAGTGTCAAAACCTACAGTTTGCCTCAGTTTTCGGCCTTAACTTTTTTGCTATTAGTCGGATCTTTTTACTTGTGGTCTCAATTTGTAGGTATCATAGATACCTAAAAATCGTATATCATGTTATGTGTCCATGTTTTGAATACCCCCTTGAACAACTTGGATGAATAAAACCAGACTTTACAATTATTTCGCAAACCACGGGTATTCTCGTCTAATATGATTAGACTAATAAATTGTACATAGATCGTTGTAGGTGGACGTCGAGTGAGCTCCAAATAAAACTGGTCGGAATAGTTCAAAAACGTCAATCCAACAGAATGCTGAGAGAAGCTTCAGTTGCACAGTAACCAACCAAACGATTGACTGACAGTTGGTTTTTCAGAATATTAAGTTGAATGTATCAAAACTCTAGTAGGAAGCACATAGTGTAGAAAGGAACTGCAAGCATACTATAATCGATTACCTTGCCTGAATCAGGACCACGTACCTGGTCAGTAAGACGCTAGACAGAGGCGTAGCCTATAAAACTGCAAAGTTTATTGAGATCTTGTAGTGAGAATCCGTTTAATCCGTCCTATTAAGGGGTAGAATAAGCCTCAAGACCGATCTGCAACTATTAGGGAATTGATTCCTAGCTTCCAAGCCAATTAAATACTCGTTTTTTACCCCACATAGGTGCTACTTGGGCAGAGGGGAGATATCGGCTTCTGAAGAGGTTTCGCATTTAGTAATCGTATACTCAGTTATCATAGACCAGAAGTCTGATTCTGACTGGGCTTTGAATCGCTGAGAAAGCATGAAGTTTATGAATGTAACACCTGAAACGTATCCTACGTACAATTTGATAATTCTGACAATATATTGTAATATATGTAAATCTGTTTGCAGGTGACACCTTGCTTCTCGAGAATCTTCTCCCCCTTGTTATTGGACTGTCGTTGGGTTTCGATTTTTTTTTTCTATTAACTTCCCTTTTTTGCTCTATCCAATTGTACGTGTTCTTTTTCTTGTTTCTTCTTTTGTTATCCTTAAAGCTCATGCCATTCAGATTTAGTTATGCAGAAAGTCAACTCCGTCTTTTCTTTTGCCGTTTTTTTTTCCAAAGCCCTGAAGTGTAAGCAGTTTCTTCAAATATTTTTAAGGCAAGCTTTGTTAGTCGATGGTTTTGGTGACTGCCAGTTTCTGGATAATGATTCTTATTTTTTTGGACACGAGATGTATCTTCGTCTTTCCACACAGAGGGAATTCCAATTTCGCTTTATTCATAATCTGACTTACCATTTCGCTTACTTTCTCTTTTGTAAGGTATGTGACCCCATTTTCCTTTTAATGAGAACTTGTTTATTTAGTTCATAGCTAATGATGCCGGTAGGAGCCTTAGAGAGCTTCTAAACATACCGCTTTCTATGCGGCTTTGAACAAATCCTATTAGGGATACTTGAATTTTGTTTTTTGACTTGCTTCATTTCTTTACTTTTTCTTTATAACTGGACATGTCAATTTTTCGTGTTGATGATCATGCGATTAAGAACTGTAAAGATTCTATATTTAAACTTGGGTGTTCTTTTTTTTAAAAAACGAAAAATAAACAGTTTTTTGCGCAAACAAACTGGTGTTCATTTAATTTTCCCAGCTCCCAAGAACCATTGGGTTGTATTCCACTTATTATGATGCATTTTCATTAAAAGAGATGCAATATGTAAAGAAAAATGCATAAACATATCAATAAAAATTCTTATAAACAGAATAATGTGGGGTATTAATACTTCTAACCTTTGCTGCAGACTCTAATTTGTACATAATTCACTTTGAATTATCATAATCCAGCCAGAATTACAAAAATGCCCAGTAGCATGTGGATATACTTACACCGCGCGACCTCTTCCTTTCTAGAACTGATTAGTTTCAAACATGACTAGTGGGTGTAATACTTTTTGGTCAAAAAGTAACGAACTTAAGAACATATTCTCAACCCCCGACACAGTCTGATGATTACACCTGGCTGCATTCTTGGTTCAAAGATCCCTGGGAATTTCATTGAAATAAATATTGAATGCGAAGTATCACAACAGTATGATAAATGACTTCCCAACTGACAACTTCTGTTAATTATATTCTGGAACACCATTAAGTAGTTCGAACTATTACTGAATCACAAGAAAGTGACTCAGTATAAACTGAGTAAGGGTATGTGTAGACTAACTCAATTAAGTGCTGCTGAGATTGTTCATCATGATTGAAGTGTAGACTACTGTCTGATTAAAATCTGATCAGTGAGATGATAATATGTCTTCTGGAAAAAATGAATGAAAAACCAAAGGACGCTGTGTTCCAAGTTAATTTATGTATACAATCATTTAGAAGCCGATGAACAAATTATATGTATACAGAACATCTGTTTCAAGCCTAACAGTCAATAGCTCAGGTGGTTATTTTCATTTATAAAGTGATATAAACGTCTGTTCATACCGTGTGTTCCCTATTCAGAGACGACATTTGAAATAAAAACTAATATGCGGTAAAACAGTAGCTCAAAAATTGTTGATTTCCCATTCTCACGTCAATAGGCAGTTGCTCTTTCGAAATCGCAATGAGCCTGTCTTGTGCTGTTCTTAATTCGAAAAGCACCTTTCTGCTTTTCGTTAGATTTTGACACAAGGCAAGGACAAATAAACGTTATTGTTTTTTAAAAACTAGTCTAATAGCAGCAGACTACTTGCAGGGAAGGATCATAACAATTGTGTTTGTGCATTAGGTACGTCCTACCTGATTCAAAACCTCGAATGATAAACGCGATGTGACCGCGGTCTAACATGGCTTACGTCATCCATTTACTATCTGATTAGCACATGCTTGTAAAAAATTATCAATTTAGTAGTCGATTTACTGCATGGCGTGGCAGGGTCCGCAGAACAGCGTTAATTGAGCGATAATTGGAAGTGGTTCAAGATGTATTTCTATAGGGACCTACCACACGATAGCGAATGCTGCTGCTGATGGATTGAGACGGTATGACGAGGTAGAAAATGCAGTATGGTGGCTGTTAGTCGTATAAGTTCATTAGACGAAAGTGATGGCAGTTGAATCGAGGATGATACGGATTAAACGAGAAAATGAACATAAAGGTAACTTTTTTACACCAAATGATCTGAGGGTCCACTGTGTGACAAAACCTTTGTGGCCAGTCTATCGTGATTTGTTTATAACGCCGAGGTAGTTTGGGGTTATTATCAAATGTAATTGGTTAATATAGTATTTGGTATTTCATTTTGTTGAAGATCAATGTACGCTGAACCTCCTTCGAAAATGTTTAGCCTAATGTTGTTCTTATAAACTGTTGTCTTGTAGCCTTGCAGAATTTCTTTGCAAATAATTAGCGGACTCCTCGATCATCCAGTATGCTTGATCGTTATTACATAAACGGACATCCTTGACCTATAATATTCCAAACCCCATAGGCACACTGGAGCACGGTGACTTTGTCTAAGTAAAAAATGAAAAAATAGGCAGCAGCGGTGGCCGCAGTAGTAGACTCTTCGGTCTCCTGATCAGTCGCCGTGCGCTGTGCGGGTTCGAGTCCCGTCCCAGGAGAAATGTTTCTCTTGGCTATGGATGTTGTGATTGTCCGTAGGTGGTAGATGGTCTCTGACTGTCGAACGTGGAGGTACCACCCGGCGGATCTCGTAGGCGGAGCCAGAATGTGTGCAGGTTGCATGCACACGTGTTCCCTCGCCAGAGTCCGTGTGGCGTTCCCCCTTTCCCCTGTATCCCCCTATAGCCCCACGGTACCCAATGGGTGTTTAGGCCTTAGGCCTTCGAGGTAGTTGGAATATAAAAAAAAAGTATACTTTTGGTATTTTCAACAAGTTGTTTTGATACTAAACGGTAATGACGAAATTAAAACATAAAGACTGATCAATAATTACTTTAACATCACTGAAAAATAAAATTAGAGGATAATATCACCAAAGAGTCAAGTCGTTGGAAATATGTGAGACGATTTTATGTGTTACTGTGTGAAAATGCGATAAAATGACAGTTGTTGACCTTCGCATTCCATTCGTATTTTTCTGCGAAAACATATAAAAGTGCGTGGGTTTTCATATAGTTCCTAAAAAGCAAATTCTGAGTTAGAACATATACTTTTATCGATAACGGTTAACATAGTAATAGCCACCGGGATTACGAAAGGGCATGTATCTCAACGTTGGGCTTTCAAGTGAACAATTGTTGGAATTGTTTCCATTTATTTCAATCCACTTGTTTTCTTGTGTGCTTAGTCCCAATCTAAGACTTACTAAGACAGTCTTATACTTGGAGGATGCAAATAATTTCAGACAAACCAAAATTTTGAATAGAACTGAAAAAGGCCAATTAAGCTCACATGATGTACCGTTGCCTTACCTATTTTATTCCTGTTTAATATTGACAACCTGATGTACGAGAATATAACCAGTATACATGTAGGTCTACGCAAATATAATTCCCAAGGAAAGTAGTGTACGCTGTTGTATTGCGTTGATAATTTAATGGGCATCGGTAAGCAAATCCAGGCAAAAATATTCACTATGTTAAATCTACGGTTTTTTGGCGACAAACACTGGAATGGAACGTATAGGCTTGGCTCTTGAACTGGTCGAATTCTTTGGTCAGTATAGTTACAAATCGATACGTCGTCTTCGTAACCCCTTATTTCCTACTATTCACCACGCCTCTGAATACTGACTGCGGTCACTTGCTTCATCTAGATAGATAAAGGATGCGAAACCACTTTGACAAAAGATAAGACCCATATCACGCTGAGCGCCCACAATTAAGGGGATTCTTCTAGAAACCTCATTTTCTATATTTCGGCTACCGAATGATTTTGTGGTCTGTAACAAATTGTGCATTGTCAGAGGTCTATTAGTGAGATGACTTTCACAGAAGCTTTCTGGAATCTGTGTCACTGTGATATTTACAGCAGGTCATGTTTTCTGACGGACAATGGATTGTGGGATGCCTGAATATTGGTTGCTTTATTATGGAAGCGCTGCTTGCGATCATTTGTTGGAATTTTCATTCGTTTCGGTAGCCTTTTCACCAACATGCACCTGTAGCGCATACTTTTCTTTAGACTGGAAATGCATATCGATAGCCTTCTAACATACCTTATAACTTTCTCAACATTGGTAGTACATAAAAAAAAGTAATGTTTGATAGCGAAATTACTGATCTTAAGAATAAGAAACAAAACAGATAGTACTAATCTCATTATTAAGTAGATATTATTTTGGTTGGTTATGTATTTTATAAGGTGACACTGCTATCTATCAGTGGTTTCACCAATCGCTGTACTAGCGACCCCTATATGCGGCAACATCAAACAATTTCCTGGCATCTTTGAACGACAGTAGCCGCTTCTCGGGGGATTACTAACTACTCACCATGCTACGAGCAATGACGTACTAAGTAAAAGTAAGTAATAGGCAGAATATAATTTGTTTTTCAAGCCCCTTAGCAATCTTCAGTACGATATTGGTCTTGACATTTGGAGACAGACAAAAGCAACAGGCGAAAAACTCAGCGTTGTGATGTGCGAAAAATAAGGTTCGCCAATAACGGTACACCTGACCTCCTACGTACAGTGCCCCAGCAATGTCTCGGTGTCCTCCCGATATACCTCTTTTTCCAAGCTATGAGTAAGAAATAGAAGGGTAGTAAAAGTGCATTAGCCGGTGGTATTATATCTTTTCGAACGGGCTTTAAACAACCGGAATATCTCTTACACAGCTGCAAAACAACCGGTCTAAGCTATAATCCCAAATAACAAGATTTATGGCTTGTCTAAAACATGAAAATAGTGAAACAAATAATAATCGTTCTAGTTTGCCAAGAACTTAGACCCCAATTATACCCCAAAACTTGGTGTAATTTTCGGACAAAGCATGACGGAACCAGCCATCAAACTTTATGAATGACTGAATCTTTGCAATAGATGCAACATAGTCCTCAGATAACCAAAGAAACGGCTACCTACAAAAAGTCAATTTCCTAGAAGCCCACATTTTATGTATCAATGTCTAAGCATTTAGCCAAACCCTATAATTATCTAGGTTCGTAACTACTGGTTTGGAAGCACTTTAATATTTTGTTGCTATTTCCGCCGCCGCAAACAGGCCAGTGTCAGGTATTTAATAATACACTAGAAAAACAACGGATTCCAGAAATGGCTACCCACCGCTCGTTTGGGGCGTCTTGGAAGTATAATTGACCTGAGAAAAGGATCATGACAAAGATGAACAACTTTGTGTTCAAGGAAAGATATATTTGATTTTGGATTTTACTCCGTAAAAGCTTCATAGTTCATATTCTGTGCGATGGAACGTGATCCATGAGATCATATACACTGAGAACCAACTTTGTCTGACGGCTTGAGTTCAATGTGCACGAGAGAGAAGTGTGTATAGACACATATGTTAGAAAGAGATAGAAGCTGAATGGATAGCGAAGCTCGTCCGCACGTTGCCTAACAACGGTGACGCAAAAGGTCGTGCAATCTCCGCGTTGCCATTATATTACACCAGTCCCTTGAACTAAGACGCGTATTGAAAATATGCGTTAGTATATTCTTTACTCCCAAATAATTGTTTTATTTTGAGCTTGCACATTTTTGAATTGTGAACTGTGTCGAATCTGTTTAGAAACGATTCCGGATCGATCCTAGCGGCGCTCCATTTTAGGTCGAAATGAAAGGTCGAGATCGCCACAAATTTCACAACATTGCATCATTGGTTCACTTGGCAACACCGCATCTCATACAGTCCAAGGCAAGATTTCCACCTGCATGAGCTTAGAAGAGTGATTTTGGTCAGTACCCATCTAGCGCTCTTTGAGGAGTGTCGTCCTGCTTCGAAATGGTTTTTACTTGCGTACACGCAGGCAGTGATAATTTGTATTGCGTAAAGGTATTTGTTACATTTTCCGAGCGCTCGCTGTCTCAAAATGTAACAATAACTCTTCTATCACCATCGGTTGAAATCAAAGATAATTCTAACATAAATTAAAACACTAAGTCGCATCAAAATTGAAATAAATAATTCTAATCAAAATGAATACAAAATATTGCATTATTCTGACAGTAATCTGACTTATTGTAGAAGTCTGGCTAGGCAATTTGGTGATGACATTCGCTCTTTAGCCGGCTTCTTTCTATTCTTAACATGTGATGAAACACACTTCTCGCGCTTCTCTCTCATACACATTGAACTCAAGCCGTCAGACAAATTTGGTTTTCCAGTATAGGGTGGGTTTTTAGTACTTACTCAGTCTTGAAACGTTTACAATTATGAACGAAAATATTTTCGTTGCTTGGAAAATATGCCGCTCTCTGATTCGTAATGACACGGCAACACAAGCATGATTTTTTTCATATACAAAAGAATAAATTTTATATAACGTACTCTGGGCTTGTAACCCATTCCCTTTTATAGATGAAATAGCAGCGTCTTCACCTATATAAGCTTTATATCCCATAATTTTTTTTCGATTGACATTTTTTTCTTAATTTTGTGAATCATTTATGTAAGGTATATGAAATATGCTTCTCAAGAAATTAAAATAGAACACTCTGTATATTTTTGCGGCTTTCGATTATCCTCTTCATACGTTTCATTATGTTCTGTCTGCAAATGACATTGTAATTTACTGACGTTGATATTCGGCAATTTGTCCTGAAACATGTCTCCCGGAAGCTAGTAGTTTCAATATACAGAATTTACCAATGGAATAGTTACCCATCTGTGAACTAGTATATGATAAAAAGATCCAATTGTTACCTGATTAGAACCCTGTACTAATTGTTCAGCATCCTGAAACGAAAATAATCAATTTTACCCACTTATTCGGTAAGAGCCAATCTCTTCACCGCAAAATCGTTTGAAAAGCAGCCACCTGCGATCCTGAAAATAATCGATTAAGCTCAGAAGATAACACAATAATTAACAAAATAAACTTCTCGTTGTAGCTTAATAAGCTCAACTAACTGCGGTAGGCAAGTAAAATTAGCCCAATCAT